AACAAGAAAAATTCTAATAAAAGACTTGGAAAGGGCTAGCCAGTTAGCTCAGTTGGTAAGAGCACAGCCTTATAAACCCAAGGTCACGGGGTTTGGGTCCCTGCACCGGCCACAAAAAATAGTGTCCTGCAGACCCTAAAAGGAGAAAAGGGCCTCACAGAAACCAGGAGGGAATTCGGAAGGACTTAAGTTCATCTTTGACCACTTCCCTATTTTAAAAAAAAAAGAGAGACTTGGAAAAGTGGGGAAAGTCTTGATTGAAAAAAAAATTGAATGACATTAAATAATAGCTACCATATCTGGAACATTTGTTCCACGTCAGAAGGTGCAGTATGTACTTTACATGAATTATTTCCAAACTTTGTAATGTAGGAAGTATTATTTTCCCCATTTTGCTGATGACAAAACTGAAGACAGAGTTAAGTAAATCGTCCAAGGTCAATACTAGCAGGTGGTTGGGCCAATATTCAATTGCAGGTGCATCTGATGCCAAAGCTCAGCTTTTATTCTGACATGAGGCCATAATTAAAAATTCAGAGATGTCACAGCTTATATATTACCTCTTATTGTCTTATCTCCCCGGACTTAGGAAAGACAGGGACATGACCAGGTGTTTTCCTGTCTAGTCCATATCAGAAGATATACTGAAAATGCCCTAGTTCACAAGGTTAGGGATCAGTATATAAGTTAGTGGGCATTTTTCCTTTCTTTGACTTCTGGCAGATACTCTCTCAAGAATCAGGGCCAATTGTTTTCTCTAATAACTTAGAGGGAGGGTAGCCTAAGGCTATCCTGAGAAATGCAAGTTTATTTATTATCTTTTCCTTTGTTCCATGGATGGTATCCAACATGCAGCTTTGACTGGCCTCATGGGGACAGCTATGTTAATTGTTTCCACTCTACAAGGAGAAACATTGGTAACAAGATTTGGCTGTTTTTCAGTATTATGAATGCAATTTTTAAGCAATTATAAAAGTATTTGCATACTTATTAAAACTCATTCCCTGCACCAAAAAATATTTACTAAGGGTGTTTAGATTCAATCGAATGTAATGAACAGTAGAAATGAGACATGTTAAAGATGCAGAGAACCTTAACAGCTTGCAAAGTCGTGAGAATATACAATTAACAGTTTACTACAGAAAACAACACATCTCTTAATTAGTAATTAAAAGATTTGGAGTAAGACCAAAAATCAAGCACCTGTCCAGAGTGTCAGACCTGAGGGTAAAGACCTCATTATCTCAATGAAATAGGACTCTTCTCCTAGAGACAGTTCTGCTAACTAATTCCTGAAGAAATTATAGGCAATGCCTTAAAAAAAAAAAA